TATCACCCTTATTTTCTTAAATTATAATTTCGTGAGCTTACAATTTTTTTTAACGGTTTAAAATAATATGACAATTCACAACTGTTGCCAAACAGTGGATATACCGTTCTAATGGCCAACTTTAAAATATCCTATTTTGATGGAAACTACATTTATATTTAGAAATAAATTTTGTTAAATGACATAGGTAATATTATTTTGTCGTCGAATCTCAAAATTGTTGTCATCGTCAATAATGTGTTTACAATATTATTCTAAATAAAATTTACAGTTATACACTTGTTATTATAAAAACGTTATTTTTATCATAATTTTCACAAAAAAAAAAAAAATCAGAAATAGTTAGTAAAAAGATCTTTTCAAACTCTAAATATAATAGAAATCCCCCTTTCAGAGATATAAGCATTCATGTATTTCACGAAATATGTTCACTATTATTGTTATAATGTATCAAAGTTATATAATATGAAAAGGTTAAGGTAATATATCCGGAATTAATACCTTTTGAATAAAAATTATTTATACGCAAATATTACTTTTTTTTGGGGATAGGTACCCTTTATTATACAACGTTTCCATCAAAAAGATTGGAAATAGGCCGCTCTGAGAACTACTCCGGGAAGGCAAATAAAATATTACAAGAAAAAATAATATATACAACGCGTAGGTATGTATATTGACATAATTTAAAGAAGATGAAAAATACCCGTCACAAGAAAAAAATAAATAACATTTTATTCTTGATAATACCAAAAAGTCTTATTATTGCTAAATAATCCAAAAATATTTATTTTCTTCAATTTTCGGGTAGATTTTCATATTTCACTTAGATTTTTAATGACCTTCGTTCACTTTGACAAGATGTGTTGTCATTCCCTTATTTTTATTCAATCCATATTTATAATTACTAGGTAGCACAATAAAACACAGTAATATTTTTATTATCGTGGGACTTCAACATACATGGAGTGTATTACATTTTTCTTTCTAAATTCAACACACAAATGGGCAAAGATAGATTTTATTTTAACTTTCCATACAGGGACGCCCGGAGGGAGGGGCCAGTGGGGGCCATTGCCCCCCCTGAGATTTTTCGTGTCACTTACGAAATTGGAAGTTTTTTTACATAAAGTTGATCTTGAGCGACTATTCGACAATCCTTGTATCTAACAAGTCATATAGGAGGTATTTAATCGCAATAAAAGACATTACGATTATTTTCAATACTTTTGGCTGGTTAGGCGTAATTGCCGAAATCGTGTATGAAAAACATATTATTATAATAATCAAATCAAAATACTTGGAAAGCAATAAAGCAAACGGGATTATAAATTATATCGTATAATGTAGTATGTACGACGTTTACGACAGAATTACAGATAATATAATATTAAAACCGATTAGCGGTTTCTGCGATTGCGATATGTTCACATTTCCTTTCGATAGCATTTTTCATAATTGACCGTATTGAAATGTCTGCGCAGTCAGTCTGTACTCTATTCTCTGTAGCAGTGCTTTCAATTTGTCTTATAATCTGTTTACCACCGCACATAAAATGAGCAAAGAATCAAAAAACAATATTTTGAAATACTTCAGCTCGACTACCTCAACATCAACAAAAACTATTAAAAAACGAAAACTTGACGAATAATTTTTTGAATAACAATAATATGATGATAATATGATATAAATTAAATTAAATAAAGTGGTTTTTTGTTTAAAATGTATTAAGTATGTTCTTTCTTATAAATATTAGAACTAATAGTGTAATTTTATATAAAGTTAAATTTGTTTTTATTTAAAAAAATTTTGTTTGCCCCCCCCTGAGCTGCATCTCTGCGGGCGTGCCTGTTTCCATATTGTTAAATTAAATTATTTATAACTTAAATTTCTTTTCAAGGTCGACAAAAAAATCGTTTCAAAGTTATTTTCCCGAACAATTTTAACCGCGCTTAGAATAAACGAGCTGTTTCGTTCGGGAGGAACTATTTGTTATCATATGCCCTTTCGAATGAATTTTTGTTCCTTGTCGTCTTAATAGGCTCCTGCGAACAATCACAGTCAATATCAATAATACTAAATCCAATGTTCAGCTCGGATTCTCGCATATTAAAATATTTGTAATATTGTTCTTTAATCGAATAAGGGAACGCAGTCTATAATCATGTGATTAGCAAAGTTATATTTTATCCAAAATTGTGAACGAAGTATTTCTTATCTATAACTAGAAAAACATTATTATTTACGAGTGTCGGCTAAGTGGTGAACTACTTGTACTTTTAACTAACATTGATGACGATCTGGAATCGACCAGGAAAATCACAAAGATTCATGGCATAATGTTTTAAAATTACCAAATATCGTGATGGCAACATACATTTTGGAGTAGTGTACATAATCTCAATATTTCTTCTAGAGAAAGATACATTTTACACATCACTGTATAGAATGAACTATAATAGATAGAAAAAAAATGTTTTGTTTTTAACCACTTGCCTATACTAAAGGTAATAAAATATATTTTTGTTTTTTAAAGCGATTCGAATTAATTAACATTTTTTTTCTTCAGTTGCATCGGCATTGTATAATTATTGTCGGGTAGGTACACACAATAGCCAACGTATACGCAGAGTATAATAAGTTACAGCTGACTTTCGGCACCGGAATTACAATTAAATAAATTCATATTTTATACTTTTGTCATTTAATTGTTGGCATCATTGCAGAATTTGGTTGGCTTCTTTGAGAAAAATAACATCCTATCAAAATGAAATATTATTACAAGCTTGTTGAAACACTTTTGAAAGTTGTGTATTTTTCATAGACTTATAATATATAAGTATGTCATAAGTCTATGGTATTTTTAGAAACATTAATAGTTTTATGATTGATATTTTTCGGTTTATATCCCCTAAATATTTCCTATACCCCAAATCGAATTACATTTCGACTTCAATTACTGTCCGTTCGTTTGATTCGAACTTCGAAGGGAGTGGGTAGGTTGGTAAATTTTTTGTAGTTTTATCATAATAGTATAACACTATGTATATGACGTCTTGTTTAATAATAATCGATTTTTTTTTTCAATTTTTCGAGAAGAAAAATACAAAATAAAACATTATAATTTATAAACTTTTACTATAACCCGGTGGGTGCTGGAAATCGGCAGTAATAAGATTTATAAGAATTTGGTTCCGATAGCATTGAACAATTTGATCATTTGATCTTTGTATATTATACATACTATTTTTATATAATCATAAATACCACCATCGTCTAAATAGGATTGATAGAAAATTAACGTTTCCCAATGAGTTCCAAGGAAAATCTTGTTTAGCTCCTTAGCGTTATTTTCAAGCAATGCTGAATTTAAAACTACATAGAAGGGCAGTCAACCGGAAGCCCATCACTAATAATAACATTATCTCCTAACATGTTGTTTATTTTTTAATCAACCAATCAAACATTTTCAACTTAACCAACCAATTGTATTACTCATAAATGTAGATGATTACAGTTTTTTTTAAACTTAAACATTATATTATGTGCCTACATACCCACCTAGTTTTTCATTATTATTGTTATTTTTTTATTAGTTTTTGTTGTTTATACGGAAAAATGAACAAACATCTTTCAGGTATATGTGTTACCAAAAGTTCTTCCCCAGTAAGAATAATAGAGTTTTTGTGGAAAAAATGTAAATTAAACATTAAAATAGTTTTTTTTTTTTTTAAATTGCTTGAGAGTATCTTTGAAAATATGGTGTAATTAAAATGTAATAATAACACTAGTAATAGTATTCATTATTCATTACTAATAACTGGCATAGTTGGAACATTTCGATGTCCAGTAAAAATACAGCCCACTCCAAACATTGAAAATAGTCGAATGAAATAAAAATAATAATTTATACCTATCTAACAAGTGATTGTAAAATAGAACAAAACAGTTTTGATCTCTTTTGGCCACTGTGCTCCTAAAATACGTAAGACCTATAATAGTTACCTAATGGTTAACAAATTACCTAGGTACCAACAATATAATATTATTACTATAGACTTATTATACAAACTTATAATTAATATGTTTGGAATAGAAAATGTGAACATAATACATTTTGATACACAATTATTATTGATACTGTACACTGGTGTTATTATTGTTATTGTGACTTACGATTATAATCGTAAAAGAGTTTATAAAATGCTTAGAACCCGAAAAAAATTGTCACCGTTAATTTGATAGTGGTGCAAGATTGTAATACCCGAGTCATCTACTCAAATAATTTCCATTATTAAGTTATGCCTTATTAATCATTTGCCCACTTCGTTATTATAATTCAATTTGAAGGTATCGAGAGTTTGAAATAGAATATGTTTCGTACGTAAATTGTATGAATATAATATATACGAAACTTGGTAAACACGTACCCTTAACTACATCTCAATATTATTTCGTGGGTACAACTAAAGAAAAGTTATACCAGCCATATTGTGACAATATATATTATTCAAATACAAGTCGGAGATTTTAGTGCCATGTATGCGAAACCCTTCTCCCCTCAAAACCAAACTCCACCCAACACTCAAAAATCTTGTAGAAAATAATCTATATCCAGAAAGACGCGACGCTTAGCATTGTAAAAATTCGCATTGGTAATATACAGTAGGTGATGTCCACGCCATCCCCTTCGATAATAGGTCACGGTGTTTTTTCTTATTTAATTATATATTCTCTGAAGTACAATACAATTTTGTATTACGTCAGAGATTCATAGTCACAACTCGCAATAATAATACCACAATAAGTTGCATACAATAATGCAAGGTTCCTCACAGGCGTGGATCTAGAAATGAAAAAAGGGGGGGGCTTAACAAAAAAATGTACTTAAAGTATATAAAAGCATGGGCATTTAGTTTAAGTTTTTTATTCATTATATATGCTTATTATAAGAGATTATTTAATAATTATTAATAACAAAATTTAATAAATATAACAAATTAAATTGACCAATCCTCCGTTTTTATTCTTCTAGATGATCTTGAAAATATATTAATTACTTCATCAATATTTATAGGTATGTTTTTATGAATGTTTAAAATAGCTAAACCGTTTAAACGCTCCTGTCCCATGGTTGACCTCAAATAATTTTTTAGGCGTCTTAATGAAGAGAAACTTCTTTCTGCACTAGCTGTAGTAACTGGTATGGTAGCCAATAAATGTAATAATGTTTTAATGATAGGAAAAAATTCATCACAGTGTTTTAATGTTTCGATCACCGTATCGGGTTTCATAGTTTGAATATTGTGCCACTTTTTCTTCCAGATTGATATTTCTGATTGTATATCCAATTTTTGACCTGACCAATCTTCACTATATATCATCGCAGCTTTAATAATATTTGATTCATCATATTTATCAATATGTGTAGGAATCAATCCTTCTAAAGGCATTACTTCACTTAACTTTTCATTGAACCTTAATTTTAGTTCGGAAATTAAATGATCAATAAAAGGTAAAAAAATGGTTATCCTATACCATTCTATTGGATCAGTCGTTTGAATATTACATCGTGTTGTTTGACGTCCACATAAACGAGGTATTCTGATTTCCTCACCAGCAAGAGCTGCCATATCAGAAGCATTTTTAAAATATGTTTCGAATTTGGATACAGAATTTTCTGTGGCGCCCCTTCTACCTTTTTGCTCTTCCATTTCACCGAACGCACCGATCGTCATTGGCCTCCAAGGACGTGCCTCCGTCCGACCCGCGATTTTCTCGAAAGTCGTCGCGTACCTACACATAAGAAAATAAATGTATCCGCGTCCTGTCCCGGGATTTTGTACAAAGTCTTTCTTATTTTTTGAAATATCTTAAGTACCGAAGTCCTAGTCTAAGGGGGGGCTTCAGCCCCCATAGCCCCCCCTTGTATCCGCGCCTGGTTTCTCATAAGTTTCTTTAAATAGAAAGTCAAAAGACATTAATGATACATATGCAAGATTATTTTTTATATAGGTATGCATTTAGAGTTAAAATTTTAACATAATTCATAGAAAATTTTCAAAGTAATTATCATTAAGAAATTCATTAAAGTTTTTCTTTCCATAGATAACATTATAAATTTTAATAAAAGATATTCCAAATTCTTATGAGCGTTTGACATTAAAATGTTTACGTTATTAGATTTTCATCGGTAAATTAACGAATTTTCATCCATCAATTTTTGATATTTTATTTGTAATTCAATAACGAATAGCCTCTTAAAATTTTCACCAAACATTTAAGTTAACATTTTCCACATGGTACAATTTTTAAACTATTTTAATTCTTTTTGAGCTACCCATAGCCATTTTTCAAATCTTGTAAATTATTTTTCAGTTAGAAATTCATAAAAGTTTTTCTTATCAAAGCTAACATTATAAATTTAATAGGTAGAAGGAAGGTTTTAACAAAAAAAAAAAAGTTCACTGGAAATTTATACAATTTTAACCATGAGATATTTTCGATCTTTATTAGTTTTTTCTAAACTATTATGATTATTTATTTAAGAATTCTAGGATGACACAACATCTCCTCTCAGAATCTTTTTTCGTATGCAATGATTTATAGTTGAATTCAAAATATATAACACATCCATTACAATGACATGATCGACAACTACTGTACAGCAGAACGGTGCCACACTTGTCCACCTTTTTTTTATTATATACTTAACATATTCATTATAAAGATCACAAACCTTAAAAGATTTTATAAGAATATCATAGGTAACATAATATACATAAAATTTACATGTCCAAAAAACAGGATCTCGTTTTCAATATTTGGTATTATATTATTTTTGTTTTGAATAAATACCTACTATTATTGTTCATAGTATTTTCTTATTTACCTAAATTACATAATATTATCACATTAATTCATGACATTTTCATAAATTAAAAACATTATTTTTGAATCTGCACTGGTCGAAATATATATTACAGAGTTAAATGGTTTTAAGATCTTCAAAGTAGGTACATACTACTCATGTTCACCAGTTTTGTAGATGTAAGTCTCAAAAGCTAAAATGCAAGGTTGTAAGCGGAGCATAATAACTATATTTTAATTAAAGTATGATGGAGGCTAACACTGGTGAGACGATAGCTGTATAATATAATTTTAAATATACTTATAAGTTATAATTATAAATATGGTTCCTGAAGAACGAAAAGAGGTAAGTGATTTTTTTTTATATTGTTTTCTCTCGCTACTTGTATTATGTTTTTTTGTGGTCATTGTCATCGAAGCATGGTAACCTATACCTATGTTTTTTTTCATATAGATACGAGTCGTGTATTATTTTCAGGTGACATAGTTAATCAATCGGATAAAAACTGATTAGATTACATGGTCATAAACATAACTAGCCTGCACACGCAGGTGCATCGAAAAATAGAAATATTATAATTTTATGTATTTCAGATAAATTCAATTACATTTAAAGAAAAAATAAAGACTGCACTAACCTGTTAGTATAATATTTTAATAACGTCTTTGTACTTTGAGTATTCCGAATGATTGGCTTATATTAGTTTATGGAACGGATGCCTCAAATCGTCACACAATACTATTGAATATTGATGTCAAACTATAAATTTCAAGTAGATTTTAATAATTGAACTATAATAAGTTAACTTATAAATTTACCCGAATCTTAATTGGTTTTTTTTTAACCCTCTTATAGGAATTCATATGAAATTATAAAATATACTGACATATTTACTGAAAGTAAATGAAAATAATTAATTCAAACAAAATATTGTCTAGTTGGAAGTTAATCGTTAACAATCAATATATTTAACTTGCTAAGTTTAAAGTAAATATGGAAAAAAATATTAACATAACACGGTTTAAAACAAATTACCTACCTATACCTAATCTAATTTTTTAATTAGTGCGTGGACTAAGTGACTATCTATGTATTTATCTACCTGTCTAATATGATATTTTGTGTAGAAACATGACATTATTATTATGATCCAATTTAATTTGTGTTTCTCGTGGAACGTCTTAAATATTGTTCCCCAATGAATAATATCAATTTAACGTCAAACACCAACAGAAAATTCTTAATAATTTGGAAAGCGTCGTTTTTACTGCACTAAAAAATCGCTAATCTGTCAAAATCAGTGGGCACCGTGTAGTAGTCGATGATTATGATAGAAAAACGACTCGAGTTACTGTACTGTACTTGAGAGGAGAAGGTTTTGGTAGTATAAAATAAACCTACCAATATGACCCCCGAGTTCCAGACTAGCTGACCTAAACGGTTACCCATCCGCAGTGAATAAAGGTAACAACGTCCAATATTATGTTATGCTTGATCAGTGATCTCAGTAACAAAACATTTTGAAATGTAAATGGAATATTATCTTTATTATTTCGAGATGGTGACGAAACGAGTGGTAGGGTTTGGTTAGATGCACTAACAATCAACCTGCTGGACGAGTCACTAAACCCTATAATGTGTCCTAATTGTTTTTCTGGCTTAATTTTTTTTTTTAAAATGACATACTTATTAATTTATCCGGGGTCATATGTATGCAAGAGCATATGGGAAATTTGTACTGGACCCAATAAAAAGAGGGGGCACACCGACAACAATCAAACAAATTTCGTTGTATGTGTATTTATGCTGGTCGTCATGTATCATAATTTGGGGTAAACACAATTTTGGCTGATTAACGAAAAAGGTAAAAAAAACTTATAATAAACATTTAATTCATATTTTATTATATAATATATTATCACTCATCGTGTCATGATAATTTTGAAAAGCTATTTGTAATATTAGAAATAAAAAAAGCCTATATTCTGCATTCAACAAATCTCACTTACCTCAACCTAACATCGTCTACTACGGTCGACGAACTACGATAACTTCAAGAACCACTGGTTAAAACACCCATGGTATTTGGAATTTGTTTGGTTATTTTGGTTTACTAAATTATAGGTAATGCTTTTTCCCCGAAAAAATAATGACATTTTTCATTTTTCCGATAACATAATATAATATTTAACACAGTATTGTCCTGAATTGTGAACGGACGTAGATGTGCGAGTAATACTATACTAACATCTATTTGTCAGTTTAAGAATTATTTAAAATTTCAAACAAATATTTACGAGGATCAATAAAAAGAAAATTAAAAGATTCAAATTAACTATATTTGGTTCTCTAAATATGTGCAGTTTCAATTTCACAATTTAATATCTTGTCATCAAATGTAAAAAAATTCTACTAAACAACTTAAATTCATCAAAGATAAGCAAGTACCACAAGCATTTCAAAATGCACAATGCAATTTTATTTGATGATTTAGGGAACCAACATTTTAAATTACACTGGATTTACCGTCAGAAAAAATAATAATATAATGCCCTACCCGTGCAAGTTTTACCTCACACATACCTACAGAATATAACAGATAGAACTGACAAATGATAAATGAAAAATTGACACTAGTAAATTAAGTACTCGAATTAAATATATCAACATTTTTCTAGACATTTGATTCACGAATTGACTATTTTGAATTTTACCAAATTTTTTCAATTTTTTTAAATATTTTCAATATTAACAAATAAAGTTGGTACCTACATTTAGTGCAAGCGTCTATAAATTCTATATACTATATTCTTAAAATTTGATTAGGACGGAAGTGATTTCATTAGTCTGGTCATTCTGTTACACCTGTCGTATCTATAGCGTTTTATAAACTTACATTACCTAAATAGCGTTGTTTTGTAAGTCGTAACCGTTTTACATTGTTCACCGCCACCGACAACGGTCCGGACTATATAATAATGGTTTGTATATTTCAATATTACCAAAGGAAATTAATGTAAAATAGCATTTTCCATGACACCGGAGCTCGCAGTGTGGCGATGAAATAAAAGTCATCCTAAAGGCCCAGCTTTACATACAATATGTATATAATACGACACGAGGTAGGCCTTTATTGTTTGTATATTTATGTGTGATATTAAATAACGACGTCCATTTTAAACTCTCCGAGTGTATTACATTATATACGAAAAGAGATGTAATTCAAAAGACGCCTTAAGTTTTTTTTCCCCATCGGAGGATTTAGTGCCGGTGGTGGGGCGACGACGTCGTTTTCTTTCTCTCATTCGTATTTTTTTCTTCTTAGTTTTTTTTTCCTACGATTAAGTGCAAAAAGCATCAAGAAATAATAAGGCGATCGCGTTTGAAGAATACAAAACAACCGTTTAGACTCCTCTTTGCCTATTATATTATGATACGCATGTACGGCGATTATATTATATTTATCTCAATTTTTCTCCCTTTGTTTTCGACTTACGTCTCTGATAATATAATAAATCTCTGACCCTTTGAGTACAAAAAATAGTGTCAAGCGGTACAATTTTCGTTGAGATGATACGTTTTAATAAAAATTTATTTTTTATTTTTTTGCCAAAATGAAAATAATATAATATCAAATTGTATTATGCCTCGGAAAAATTGTATTTATTATTATATTTTTGGCAGAAAAGATGTATTGCGGAATTTATTCACATTTAACACCCTGCTTATTCCATCTAAAATTTAAAAAATCGTTTTAATTACCAACAAATTTTAGTTGACTCTACCTACTACTTTATATTTTTGTTTGTCAGTGTGTATAATTATATTTGATAACACAATAATTTTAGTTAAAAAATATATTTAAAT